AGTAAGTTTGCTGATGAAACGAAGGTTGGTGAAGTTGTGGATAGTGTGGAGAGCTGTTGCAGGTTGCAGTGGGATGTTGACAGGATGCAGAGCTGGGCAAAGAAGTGACAGATGGAATTCAAACCAGAAAAATGTGAAGTGATTCATTTTGGAAGGTTGAATTTGAATGCAGAATACAAGGTTAATGGCAGGATCCTTGGCAGTGTGGAGCAACAGAAGGATCTTGGGGTCCACGTCCACAGATCCCTCAAAGTTGCCACCCAAGTTGATAGGGTTGTTAAGAAGGAATATGGTGTGTTGGCCTTCATTGGCAAGGGGATTGAGTTTAAGAGTCACGATGTTATGCTGCAGCTCTATAACACCCTGGGTAGACCACACTTGGAATATTGTGTTCAGTTCTGGTATCTCATTATTGGAAGGATGTGGAAGCTTTAGAGAGGGTGCAGAGGAGATTTACCAGGATGCTGCCTGGACTGGAGGGCAGGTCTTATGAGGAAAGGTTGAGGGAGCTCGGGGTTTTCTCATTGGAGCGAAGTAGAATGAGAGGTGACTTGATAGAGGTGTATAAGATGATGAGAGGCATTGATAGAGTGGATAGCCAGAGACTTTTTCCCAGGGTGGGAATGGCTATCACAAGGGGGCATAATTTAAGGTGATTGGAGGAAGGTATAGGGGAGATGTCAGAGGTAGATTCTTTACACAGAGAGTGGTGGGTGCATGAAATGCACTGCCAGAAATGGTGGTAGAGTCAGATATATTAGAGACATTTAAGCGACTTTTGGATAGTCACATGAATTATAGTAAAATGAAGGGTATGCAGGGTAGTTTGATCTTAGGGTAGGATAATAGGTCAGCTCAACGTCGTGGGCTGAAGGGCCAGTACTGTGCTGTACTGTTCTATGTTATATGTTCTGTGTTCTAAATACAATTGCAGAATTTAAGAGGCATCTTGACAGATACACAAACAGGCAGGCAATAGAGGAAGATAGTAAGAACTGCTGATGCTTGAGTCCGAGATAACATGCTGTGGAGCTGGAGAAACCCAGCCAGGCCAGGCAGCATCAGAGGAACAGGAAAGGTGACGTTTCGGGTCGGGACCCTTCTGGGGAAGGAGCACCGGACCCGAAACGTTAACTCTGTTTTTTTTTCTTCACAGATGTTGCCAGACCTGCTGAGCTTTCCCAGCAGCTTTGTTTTTGTTCCATGTGTCAGCATAGGCTTGGTGGGCTGAAGGGCCCTTTCTTGTGTTGTACTGTTCTTTGTTCTTTATTACCGCTATCATCTCTAATGGGCCTGACTCTTTCCCAAGAAAACTGCTTAGGTTTTCCTTATTTCTATTTGCCAATGCTTTCACATGCATTCCCTTAGCTTTCCCAGTTTGCTTTTTAAGATCCCCCCAACACTGTTTATACATCCCTAGGGATTCTGCCATATTGAGCTGTTGCGAGGTGCTGTAAGCATTTGCTTTTTACTTAATTCTAGTCTTTATGTCCCTTGACATCCAGGGTTCTCCAGGCTTGGTCCCACCCTTTGTTTTCGTGGGAATGTATTTGCCTTGTACTCTCATTAATTACTCCTTGAATAACCCCCACTGTTCTGATACAGTTTTATTTGCAAGTAACTGATCCCAGTCACTTAAGCAAACTTGTATCTTGCCTCAGTAAAATTAGCTTTTTTCTCCATTTAGAACTTGTATTCACTGCCCATCATTCACTATTCCATAACTATCCTAAATCTAATTATGTTATGATCATTATCTCCAAAATGCACCTGTACTAATATGCCTTCCAATTGCTGGACTTATTTATGAATGTTAGGTCCAAAATTGCCCCTCTTATGTTGGGTGTTCTGTTTATTGGCTAAGAAGAAAGTTCTCCTGATTGCAATTTCACAAATGTGTTCCATCTCTATCTTCCACACCGAAACCATCTAGTTAATATTTGGATAGTTAAAATTAGCTAAGAATTTATTAAACTGTTACTGCCTTATTATTCTTACACTTCTTTGACATTTGATTAACATTTTGCTCGGCTGTCTCACCCTGACTGTTTGATGGTCTATAGTGCACACTATGGGATGTTTTGTGTTTTTTTTTTACTTCTATCTATGTGGCCATCTTTGATTTTTCCATCATATACCTCATTTCTTCTATAATTGATTTGTTGATCAATGCTGTGACCCTCCCACCCACCACTCATCCTCCTCTTCTGTCTGGTTCTCCTTCCCATCTACCAAACAACAGTGATAGAGCTAAGTGATCTCACAACCAATGGGTCAAATCTAAGCTCTGCAGTCCTGCCACATCCAGTCATGAATGGTGTTGGACAATTAAATAACTCACTGGAGGAGAAGGAGGCTCCAGAAATATCCCATCCTCAGCGATGGAAGAGCCATCATATCAATGCAAAAGATAAGGCTAAGCATTTGCAGCAATCTTCAGCCAAAAGTTCCAAGTAGATGATCCATCTTGGCCTTCTCCAGTGGTTCCCAGCATCATTCCACGTATCAACAAACAGTTGGAGGCACTAGATACTGCAAGGGTTATGGGTCCTGATGACATTCCAGCAGTTGTACTAAAGACTTGTGCTCTAGAACTTGCCAGTCCCATAGCAAAACTGTTCCAGTAAGTATGGTGTAACACTGACTACCTATCCGACAAGTTGGAAAATTGCTCAGGGACAACCTCTGCATAAAAAGCAGGACAGATCCAACCCAGCCAGTTAACACCCCATTCTTCTACTCTCAATCATCAGTAAAGTGTTGGAAACTATCATCAATAGTGTCAAGCAGCACTTGCTCAGCAGTAACCTGCTCAGTGCCCAGTTTGGGTTCCACCAGAGTCACTCAACTGACCTCATTACAGCCTTAGTTCAAACATAGACAAAAGAGCTGAATTCCAGAGATGAGGTGAGAGCGACAACCTTTGACATCAAGCTTGTATTTGATCAAGTGCAGCATCAAGTAACCCTAGCAAAACTGGAATCAATGGGTATCAGGAGGCAAACTCTCCATTGGTTGGAATCATACCTGGTGCATTAGAAAATTGTTGTATTTGGAGGTGGTCAGGTATCTTAGCTACAGAACGTCTCTGCAGGAGCTCCTCAGGGTGGTGTCCCAAGCCCAACCATCTTCAGCTGCTTCATCAATGACCTTACTCCGTGAGAAGTGGGCTATTTGCGACGACTCATACTGAAACAGTCTGTGTTCAAATGGTGTGGACCTGGACAATATCCAAGCTTGGGCTGAAGAGTGGCACGTAACATCTGTGCCACACAAATGCCAGGCAATGACCATCTCCTATAAGAGACCATCTAACCACCGTGCCTTGACCTTTAATGGAGTTATCGTCACTGAATTCCCCACTATCAACATCTTTGGGGTTGCCATTGACCAGAAACTGAACTAGACTCAGCATGTAAATATGGTGGCTACAGGAGCAGGTCAGAGGCTAGAAATACTGTGGTGAATAACTCGTCTGACTCCCCAAAGCCTGTCTGACATCTGCAATGCACAAATCAGGAGTGTGAAGGATTCCTAAAACAGAGAAAAATACACCCAAACAAAGAATATAAAGGCAGAAAAATGAAGAAATAAAGAAAAATGTCCAACTTTCCAGTTCTTCTTGTTAAGTGCTCCATGATGGGCCGTGGACCTGGTGGTCAGGTATGAGACCCCTTCACTGCACTGCTACTGCTATAATGTAAGTCATTCACACTTCGGCGCCCTCTCGCCTCCACTGATGCCCTTGCTATGAGACCTTGATCGACCTCGCCAATGCAGATGCCGCCGGATACTGCACAAGCCCAAACTCCGCTCACGGCTGCCACAGGTCTGCTTTGGTCCCACTTCATCAGTGCAGCCACTGCTGATGCTGCTGTGTCTCGTACTGGGCCCAAACTTGCCTCCACTCCCTCCACCACCGACAGTCAGTAGCAGCAGTGTTACTATCTACAAGTTGCACTGCAGCAATTCACCAAAGATCCTTGGACAGCATCTCCCAAGCCCGCAACGATTTCCATCACGAATGACAAAGGCAGCAGATACATGAAAACATTATCACCTGCAAGTTCTTCTCCAGGCCACTCACCATCCTGACCTGGAGAGACATCTTCGTTCCTTAACCATCACTGAATCAAAATCTCTAAGGGCATTGTGGGTCAACCTACAGTGCATGGACTGCAGTGGTTCAAGGAGGCAGCTCACCACCACCGCCTCAAGGGCAACCAGGGATGGGCAATAAATGCTGACCAGGCCAGAAATGCCCATATCCCTTGAGTGAATTAAAAATGAAGTACACCTTTCTAACCAGAAATGTTGAACTGTCAATCCTGCCCACCTTGCAGCTAAGTGTCAGTCATAGCTATGATGTCATATTCCCATATGTCCATTTCTACCCTCAGCTCCTCTGTCTTATTTCTCAGCCTCCTTGCACTGAAATATATTCTGTTTTGCCTTGTTAATCTCTTTTTTTTTTTTTTCTTACCTAGCCTGTGTTTCCTCTGCCTTCCAGACTCACTTGTTTGTACTTTAACTTCTAATTTCCTCTCAGCTTCTCTCCCTTCTGAACTAGTCACAATCCCATCCCCTGCCATTGTAGTTTAAATCTGTTCCAACACAATTAGCAAACCTTCCTGTAAGGCTGTGGTTATGTGACTGTTCAGAAACCTGTAAAAGCACCTGTACAGGTGCTACCTCCTTGGCGCAATCTGTTTAAGGTGCAGTATCATTTATAATGTGCTGTGATATAAAATAAACTTTAACAGAAAAATTATATAAATCACTATCTTATACTTTTGGTTATGGTATGTTTTATTTCGGACATACTAGAATACGTTGCAGTTCTCCCTTTACAACTCAGAATTTTTTTTTAGATAAGGGACATAAAAGAAGTAAGAATACATCACTGAATGAATTGTCTGAGTTCACATGTTGCTTAAAATGAATTGCTGTTATTCTTCAGATATTGTTGAGTGAATTGGTTTTGAAAATCTCCTCTGCAGATTTTCTGAAGAAACCTTTAGACAATTACGTGAAGAATTTACAAGTTCCAGTGAAGATAATTAGGATGGAGAAGCGATCTGGATTGATTCGTGCCAGGCTCCGTGGTGCAGCTGCTTCAAAGGGCCAGGTCATTACTTTTCTAGATGCGCACTGTGAATGCACTGTCGGCTGGCTTGAGCCCTTACTGGCAAGAATAAAAGAAAACAGGTATATGGTCCCAATCCTGCCATATGAAAGGAATAATCCGTCTGCTAGTTGTGATTTGATTTTGAACTACGTTTTATGAATCTTAACAAGTTTCAAAACAAATCTGTGCCTCTTCACAGTTATTGTCAGAAATGTACGAAAAGTTGGCTTTGTTTCGACAAAGGCATATTGGGTTTATTTGAAATTGTCAAATGTTATCATCCTCCTGAGGCATCAGGCTTAGGCTGAGAATAAATATCTATTTCTGTTACGTTTTCTAAGTTTGTAAGTATTTTGAAATTTAACATCATGCAGCAAGCGACAGATGTACATTTCCTGCTGCATTTAAAGTTGAAATTAGTGCCTGTCAAATTTCTTTGCACAATATGGATGTTTGAAGAATTTAAGCTCAAACTTTGTTGGAACTACAAGGTTTTGGAAAGCTACATGAGGGAGAACAATGACATCTACTTAATTTGGTTTTATTTTAGCTGAACTAATCCTACTTGTTATTTACAGAAAGAACAAACTGAAACCTGTTGTTGAATGTCAACAGATGTGTTGCATTGCCTTAAGCTACCTTGAAAACAAAATCAAACATTTACCAGAATAAGATTAAACATCAACTGTTTCTGAAACACGGGTATTAACCTAGTAAAGCTATTTATTTTACTTTTGTATATTTACTTTCCAGTTTGTATTAGATTCATGTTTTGTCCTCTCTTTAAATAATTAATCTAATCAAACAAAACATCAAAGGGTCTTTTATTTAAACTATAAAACATAATTTTATCATGAAAGCCTTGTAATGAATTTATATGAATATCATTTTAGTTAAGTTGCTTATTTGACTTATTACAAAAAAGAATAATTAAAATGGATTTTCATTCTACATTCTCTGAAGAATAAACATTTGGCAACTACTAGTGGACAAAAACGAATGCATTTTTTTTGGAACAGCTAAAGGGTCATGTAGTTAATTGATTTATTTTTCAGTAATAACAATACTGAAATACAAAAGAGAACTTTGTTAGGTTTTATGATAGCCACAATTTGCATCCAAATTTATATTTGGGGGATCTTTGTTTTGTAAGGCTCTGTCGTTAGATGCATTTGGGATATTTTTGAGATACAGTTATGGTCCTTTGATGTTTTGTAGCTAAACTGCCTTGGAGTGTGTTTAAGCAACAATACATCATCTGATTTTAATGAGTCATCCCATTTTCACTGTGCATTCTCAGAATGGATGCCTCTGGACTGCTTTTAGTAGTATATAAGGAAGTGAATTCTCACCAAAATGCTCCTGAATTTCCATTGTAACTTCAGATAAGGTATGGAAATTCTGGAAATGAATTCATTTTATCTTTCCATGTTTTCTGCTGCTCTTCTAAAGGTAGAGCACAGACTGAAATGTATGATGGTTGAATATCAATGCTTACCAAAACTGAGAACCTGCACACTTTTGAAGATGAAATTCCACAGACACTATTTGGCTCCCAGTTTTGCCACCTTGACCTTGTGAAAGTGATTGGAAGCCCAAAACATTTTTGTACTTTTCTGGTGTTAGTTTATTCACAGTGAGTTGCACACTTATTTGGAGTGGGTAGATATAGGATTTGCAGCAATACGTCTATACAAACAAGATAACTCAGTTAAGGTGAAGTGGATGGCAAGACAATCCCAATAGGTGGTTGAGCATCAGATGATGTGTCTTTTACTGTAACAGAAGGAGCATTACTACCAGAAACATTGCAGTTATTCTGACAATGAGAAAACTTGCACATAAATTTGTGTACATAATAAAAAGTCCTTGCTGAGTATGACGCAGTAGAATTTCCAGTTTGATTCCAACTGGTAAATGATGTTCAAGTTATGCCCACATTATGTCAGTTTTAACAAGACTTTTTCCTTGATTTTCTATTTAAATTAATTTACATGACTGTGAATGTAAACTCTAACATGAATCAACAGAATCATGAAACATTTCAAAATATATATTTTTTAAAAGTTGTTGAGACATGTAAGATTTAAAAACTAGGCATATTTTGATCAATATAACTAAAATGGGTTTATCATTCAAAAACACCTTGTTAATCTAACACTATTGAGCAACACAATTAAGTTTCAGAATATAACTCTGGGGGAAAAAAATTGGCAGCACATTTTCTCAAGCAGGTTCTGGATAGATTAGGAAAAATCACTCGAACAATTTCATAACATTCCTCTTGGAGTCATTGAGCAGAATCCTATAGGGGTCTGAGCAAATGCACTGTGGTGAGATCTGTGGGAGAATTGGATGCCAAGTCCAGTGAGGCTCATTTCAACCTTGGGAGAATCTTGCTCCATCCTTTATGCTTTTCACAAATGGTGTGGTGAGTTCCTCACTAGACAGTGCAAATTGCCAATTAAGGGTGTTTATAGCTTTGTAAACACCTTGTTGATAGCTCAATTCTCCTCATTAATCTTCGGCTTTCAATCTTACCAAACTTGGCAAACAAGCTAGACATCGAGAAAGTTCGACATGGAAACACGAATGCATACCTGGTGAATTCAGCTTGCTGCTAGCTCTGGTTGCATTTATTCAGTCGAGAACTTCATATCTTTGTAGGCCTGGAAGTGAGCTGTGGTCAGTCCTGTGGCTCCAAGCAGCTAGTCCAGAGGTTAGCAGTAGCGTGGTCAGGCAGATGTATAGTGTACATCAGTCAGGGGCACTTCTCATCTGGGGATGACCTGTTGGCCACCCAATAGGATGAGCCACGGTCAGTCCATTGGTTTCATTTTTAGAAATTGAGAAGGTGGGGGCAAGGCCGATAGCTATTGTGGGAAGAAAACTTGGCAGGTTACACTTCAGGACTGGAGACTGCAGGAATGGGGGAAAGGGGAAATGACAAATTTTGAAGGGGAGGTAACAATGTATGCAAGAGGGTGAGATCGTAAAGGATAAAGAGTATTGGAAAGGAGTTGTGTGGGAGCTGGTTTCATCCACAATCAGGAGCATCTGGGCTTCACAGGGGTGGGGAGTGAGTGAACACAGTTGGCATGGTCACCTGATATGCCAGGGAGTGGGAGGGAAAAGTGGGTAGTGTAAACTCGTGGACAGGTTAGGTGGGAATCTGGAGAGGTGCAAAGCCAATGGACTTTATGGGAGGCTAGCAGGAATGGTATTTGGATATTTGGGAACTCACTGACATGTTGAGATAGAGGATGTAAGCCACTGTCTGAGGAAGGCCCACTGCCACCTTCCATTGTGCTAGAAGTTGAAAGTGCACAACAAGGAAGAAGATTGTTGTGACCATATTCCAAGTGGGCAGAGTAAGTGACTCAACCTCTGAAGGTGTGGGATGGAGGACAAGGATATTATAGTTTATAAAGGGAATGAACATTGCACGCAGACTCATTTGCTGTATTGTTTAAGCTTGCCTATTCCCTGGCCATCCTATTCTAATCTTCTGCATCAAACCCCCCGCTCCCCCACAACCCACCTTTAATCATTGTATTGCACATTCTTGCAACAGACCTCATTGAACATCTCACTCATGCCTACACTTTTGGACACGGCGGGGGGCCATGAGAAAAGGGAGATTTTGTATGAGGAGGACCAAAAGTGTCAGCAGCCCTGTATACACCTTATCTCTCTTCCCTTCATATGATGCAGCAGGATGTGTGCACAGATGTCCATCCATTGTACATCATCTGTGGTCATGAAGGCGTGCTTCATGCAGTAACAATTATATTTGGGCTACACAAAGAGATGTATAATCAGTGTAAGGTGAAATCAATGACATTTCTAAGAAGGTGCAAAATTGCATGCAGTGCATTGCCACCTATGCCTCCAGTGTGCCCCCAGTAAATCACGTTCTTGCTGTCCCTCCCTACCATTCAGGTTTAATTCCACAGGTGGGGTGGTTCTACAGCTGGGGTCCAGCGAGCATACTCATCAGTGGAACCTGTTAGTCTTGAAGGTTGGTCTGGGGGGCGTTTGTAGCTGGACGGACCAGAATGCCGAGGATCCTCTTGGCAATGCAAATTGATCCACTTCAGCTTCAACTTGCGAGGTCAGAGTGGAGCAGGCAGGTAGGTAGGTTGGTCAGCCTGGCCACCCTTGGAGTGTTCTGAGCAGAGACATAGGAACATAGAAATAGGAATGGGCTATTCAGTCCCTTGAGCCTGTTCCACTATTCAGTGAGATCATGGCTGATTTGTGGCCCATATCTCTTAATACTTTTGGTTAACAAAAATTTTAAATCTGAGCAAGATATATTTAATGACTGATCCTGTATCCACTGGCATTTGTGGAAGGGAGTTCCAAACATCTCCCACCCTTTGTGTGTGTAGAAATGGCTCCTAATATCTCTCTTGAATAGCCCGGCCCTAATTCTCAGACAATGCCGTCTAGTTCTAGAATTTCCCACCAGTGGAAATAATTTATCTTTAACTACCTTTTCTTTTTCTATTAATGTCTTAAAGACTTTGATCAGATCACTCCTTTCCTTTCTAAATCCAAGAGAAAACAGGCCTGATTCGTGTAATCTCTTCTCCTAACTTAACCCCTGAAGTCCAAGTATATTCTTGTAAACAAATGTTGTGATCCCTCGAAGGCCAGTATATCCTTCCTAAGGTGTGGTGCTCAGATCAACTCTCAGCACTTCAAGTGGTGTCTAACTAGGGTTTTGTATACTTGCAGCATAACTTGTACATCCTTTCAGTCCTTTTGATGTTAAGGCCAGAATTCCATTAGTTTTCTTGATTATTTTGTGCACCTGTTTGTGACATTTTAAAGATCTATGCTTCTGCACCCAAAGTCTCTTTAGACATCTAGTATATTTAACCATCTAGAAAATACTTTAGTCTATCCTTTCTCAGTTCAAATTGGATAACCTGACCATTGAATTCCATCTGCCACATGTTTGCCTATTCACTTAATCTATCGATATGCCTTTGTATTTTTATCGTATCATCTGCACTGTTTAAAGTGCTGCCTAACTTGGTGTCATCAGCAAAATGGATATATAACTTTCTAC